GAAAACTACCGGTAACCAATGGCTTAGTTCACACACTTATCCATGGTTAACTGAATCAGAGTTTACCCCATTAACCCAATTTGAGTCTGAAATAACAGGTGAAACCACGATGTAACTACATAGGCTAAGTTCCCTCAATGGGCTTTGCTAAAATATGTTTGGCAAGTGGTTTTTTTGGTACGTTGTAAACAGCTGGGGTTGGGGTTTCTTCTAGGAATGTAAACCATATAGTGCTAATTTTACTTTAGCTTTATTGTTGTTTTAATATAGATTAAATAGATCCATCTGGTTTAAAAGACTACACATGGCTTTGGTTTAACTGATAATAGGGATTGAACAAATTTCATATCCTTAAAAATTGTAATCAAAAATTGCAGTTTGTTTTGAAATGGGTCCTCTCATTTCTAAACTACAAATTTAAAACTAATTTAATTGGCCTAATTTGGTCATTTTGGCTCCAATGGCCTAATTTAATTATTTCGGCTCTCCCAAAGAGAGAGAAGTAATTCTTTTATGTAGAGATAAAGATCATTTATTTATCAAGAACTAGCAATTTTTCTCCTACCAATTTTAAATACATATCATTTGCTAACCTGTTTACCTGATAAACACTAACAAAACACATAGTAGGTATATAATGATTTGTACAGGCTATTTTAATAATGGGATGTTTTATTTTTAGGGAACTGGTTATTTCCGTATCAATATGTGAATTGGATATAAATACAAAATGTTGTTATGTTTAATATAGAAATCTGCATGCTAAATTTTATATGAAAAACTACCTGTAGCATTTGATATCAGTTCCATATTAATTTTACAACATAAGAATCAGTGTGTACCAGTTTTTTTCAACATGATACCTCAGTTATGTTGTATTTCTAATTCTGCTATTCACAGCCTCATCATTTTCCTTAAGGGAATCATGAACCTACATCAAGTTGTGGATTGAGGGACAGTATTATTGTACTGTTGTAAATATAACAGCAAACTGATCCTGCCTTTTTTCTCAAATCTCTCATGTTCATTTACCTTTCCTTTCAGTTTTGGGTGTAACATATTGTCTTTAAGAAACATATGACTATTTAACTTGAAAGACAAAATTTCCCTATCTTTTATACTATTTCTGACCTTTTTGAAGGCACCACTTATAGAAATACAGAAACAATATTGACTTTGAAGTGATAGTGCTTGTGCAAGTCTTTGGACTTTCTATATGTTTAACTTCTGAACAGCCTATCATTATGTAATGAGACAAATGTTGAATTCTACCAGTTCTTAGTACTCTGGATATAGAAATGAATAGATAGAAGAAACCCTGGGGAAAGAATGAGTAGATGTCACTGTATCTTCTGCTCTAATAACACACACCGGTAAATGCTTGTACATTGTGCAGGGTACATTCTCCTTATTTTGCTGTTTCTGTTTCAAAATACTGTAACTTTAAATAAAAATATTCCTTGCTGTTCTACATTTGAAAATTTTGCCCTTACATGAAATTGTTTATTTTCATGCCCTCTTACAACATAAAATCTCTTCCAAGTCACATTTGACTCCTGTTATTTTCAAGAATGTGTCTATTAAGGCTTTGACAATAATCAAAAGTTCATAAAAGATACTTCAAATGACATTAATTTTTCTCTATCTTGAAGTAATTTACAAAATACATTTTTGGTATTTTATCTGCAAATATATATACTAGTATGTTTTTCCTACCTAACACATTTTACATTGCTTTCCTTGTTCAGAGAATAATGAAAAAGCAAATATTTTGTTTCCAAATATATATTAATGACCTTGTAATACAAAAATTATTTTAGCAATTTAATCTAATTAAGTTTTTAGTGGAGTCTATCTAGAATGCTTTACTCATTCATATTTTATGTTGGGCCTTTCCTCTTTTTCCTATTAAAAGAGCTGAGGTGGCGCAGTGGTTAGGGTGCAGTACTGCAGGCCACTTCAGCTGACTGCTAGTTCTGCAGTTCAGTGGTTCAAATCTCACTGGCTCAAGGTTGACTCAGCCTTCCATCCTTCCGAGGTGGGTGAAATGAGGACCCAGACTGTGGGGGCNCCAGACTGTGGGGGCAATTTGCTGACTCAATTTGCTAAAAATTTGTAAACCGCTTAGAGAGGGCTGAAAGCCCTATGAAGCGGTATATAAGTCTAATAAATAAATAAATAAATAAATAAATAAATAAATAAATAAAAGAAAACATGTTATTTATTAGATATTTGAGCCATGTTTTATATCTATTAATATTTCCTCATCTATAGTATAAATGAATTTTCACCCTGATTTTATTTTTTATTAATTGGCTAAAGCAACAAAAATGCAAAAAAAAAAAAAGAAAAGAGAAAGGAATATATTGATAAAATAAACATTACAGGGAAAGTTTGAAAGGAAAATACAATTATAGAATGAAAATGAAAATAGATTATATAAAAAATAAGAAAAAACCATTCCCCACCCTCCCCAATTTTTCCCAATTGCTTTCCCCAAATATTTTTATACCATGGTTTGGACATTTGTGATTGTTGCTCATTTTTATTGTGGATTATTTTAAACAGTTTCTCTTTTTCCTCAGAAGCCATAATTCTATATTTTAGCTTGCCATCTTGGGTAATACATTTTATATAAAGGAAACATTTCTGTTTGAATTTGATATCTCCTTTGATCTTAATGAATTCATCAGTAAGTTCGCATAGCTTTCTTTGGCAGCAATACCAAAGTAATTTACCATTACCTTTTTCATAATGCTTTGACTTCTTAATCTAGTCTACAGGCCTGGCATTCCAAGTAATAACAAGATCCAACTCTGTTTAGCTTTCTGATATTAGCCACTGCTGGCTAGGTGCTGCCATCTAGCTGGGCCATTCACAGTATGTATTGATGTGGTTTACACATGACTAATTCTAAGAAATTTTGTTTATCATAATTGTTTATTATTGTTAATTGTAGGACACATGTCTCACTTCAAAGGAAACCAGGGTACACTTATATTCCCAATACATGGGGTTAGAACAATAAATAAAAAGATAAAGAAAATGCATCAAATTAGCAAAAGCAAGGATTTTTGACATTAAAAATAAAATAAAAGAGAAAATAATCACCAAAAAGCCCTTCCAAAAAAGTCATACCCTAGACTCATATATAAAATCAAAAAACATTACTTCAACTAAGTAGTAAACAATTTACAATGTTGGTATCAGAAATAAACAACCTCACTCCTTTTGAAGACTTCCCGAAGTGAGTCAGTAGAAAGAATTTGGGGCAAAACATAATGTTGAATGAAATAATTGAGTACTATGAATATATGTGGGAGAAATTATACTTGCCATCTTTAATTATACATTGAAATTGGACTAGAAACTAAAATGGAAACTAGTACAGATCAAATAACAATGTGATGTTTCAGGGTGCCGTCTTCAGAGAATAAGCTGGCTTTCAACAAATAGAATTTTTGTTCTGTTTGTCTTCTTTTAGTAATTTAGTCTGGAAAAGGAAATTGACGGTATTTGGTTTTAACATGCCATTGTTAATAAAAATACATTTCATTCAGTTGACGCTATCTGTGTATCAATTACAGAATGCTCTCAGATTGCCTAAGACTAGGAATGAATATAATTTGCTCTTGCCCTTAAATGCCAACTGTCCAGTAAAATGAATCTCTATTGTATTTATTTTTCCACACATCCAGACTTCTACTCCACTCTCAGCATTAGATTAAAGATCCAACAGCTTCCCTCAAAAAGAACAAAAGGGAGGCTAAAGTATAATGATTTTATTGGGAGAAAGACCCCTTAAACCACATCTGAATAAATATGGATAGAATTCCTTTGCTCAGGTATAATTAAAACAGATGATTCAGATATTTAAATTCCAATGTAATTTAAAAATCCAGAAATTATTATGAAAATAAAAAAGCTCATTTTTATCTTAGCAACCTTATAAGCTACTTTATGATGGAATGCTTAGATCTTTTATCTCTTCCCCATGTAATTTTGTCAGACTGGCAGTGACTGGAAAAATAGGTATTTCTCTGCATTAACTTAGCATTTAAAAGTTAATCCATCCTGTTAATTGAAGTGATTTGTAATTCTAGCACACTGGAGTTTAAGAATTTTTAGTAGGAAAATGCCAGATGCAATGTTCTGGAAAATATTGATTTATATATTTGCTCATTCTTATCCTTGTTATATTTGTCTTGAAGATATATGATTATTGTTAAGTAATTTCATAAAAAGGATATTACTATTTTGATGAAAGTTAAAATCTATCTTCAGTCAGTTCCCTTATGTTTCTTAAAATTATAATTTCTTTATTTACAGTTATTAACGAGAAGTTTCCCATCATAAAGAATGTTGTAAAAATATAGTATAGTATAGTATAGTATAGNTAGTATAGTATAGTATAGTATAGTATAGTATAGTATAGTATAGTATAGTATAGTATACATATTTCTCATTTGTTTTAACAGAGTTTCTACATGTAAAGTCAGTTATGGAAAAGAGAAATCAAATTGTCATATTATCCATGATAGATTTTAATTTAAGGTCACATAAGAGTTTGTGTATGAATGTGTGTGCGTGTGCACATTGCCTGAAGAGAAGGGCTAACTTTCATTGTAAACTGTAAGGGATAAATACTAAGGGAGTTTTTAAAAATCCATGGGTGTATGCAAGAATGGAATAGGTAATGATTTAAAAAAAATATTTGTAAAGCAGGGAGAAGGAGGGACACAATAGATCTGAATATGTTGCTAAATATATTAAGCCATTTCAATGGAATGAAATCCAGTGCTTAGTTAAGGTCTAAGGTTATAACAACTCACTTTGGGAAGCTATTACCCGGTTGATTTTAATTCAGATACCATACAAATCTCTAAAAAAAACAAGGAAACGTTAGCGTTTTGATCCATGTCTAAATTAAGATCAATTATTCATATATGATTAAGTAACTATTTCCAAGCGTACCTGTTAGGCCAGTTTTCTTTGTTGAAAATCCATATAACCGTAGTTCCTCTTATGAAGCGTGCGTCGCTGCTTTGAATAGTGTACTACCGTATCCTCCCAGCCTGCCTCTGTTCAAAGGAGCCCTTTCGCAGAAGACTTCAACCCCCACAATCCCACTCGCGCGCATGCGCCCTAAGCTCACAGTTGTCAAAGTGCTCTTGCAATTTCTATTTATCATATACCAAACCCGAAAGAAGGAAATAGACACACACTGTCCCTACCTTTCATTGATCTTTAAAAACAGAACGCTCAAAAGGTAAACGTTCTGGGCGCCTTTGCCTTGACTGTATTGGGGTTATTTGCATGCAAATGAAGTACGGAGGGGATATTATTATTGTTCCGTAGTATACTTTGAATTGATACAAATATATTCAGTGGGAGAAAAGGGGGGTGGAGAAATCAGGGGACTCTGGATATTAACCTACAACTGGGTGTTTGGCTACCTGCTTTTTTTGCTTTTAGAGTAACGTCCTTTTTTTTTTCCTGGTTCAGACTTGCCTACATTAACTAAAAGTGGATTTTGACCTTGAGAGGGAAAGGTGTGAATTTTAGTGCAATATGAAGTTCACAGTGGTATTTAAATCAGCTGTTATAGTGTGGCTTATCATCTACATTGGAAGACATATTTTTTTAAATTATATCCTTATTTATAGAAACGTTTTCATAAACAAGCATTTTAAAACCTGATGCAGAGTAATATCCCCATTCCCCCCCCCCACCCTTTGCATGGGATATTTTGTGTATTTTGTCTACCCTACAGCTTTTGATAAATTTGATCCTAGTGCAGCTAATAGAAAACTACACAAAGGCTTTGATATTGTGCCTTGCTGCAGTGCTGCTTTAAAGGTTTGCCTGCACACCCCCCCCCCCCTACAGCAGCGTCAGAACTGCGTGCAAAGATGCGCTAGTTTACTCCTTTTGGGGGATTCTGAATTTAGCTTAGAAGACTCTCTATATGTGCACCCTCTGCAAAACGTTATTTTTAGCTCGTGTGTAGATCAGTAGTGAAGAGAATTATTTCTGTGAACTATCCTGCTGTGGATTAATAATACCCGTACAATATATGCTGCTGGCTGATTCTTACTTGATTAACTGCCTGTTTGAAGAGGAATGATAAATTTATGAATCTCTGGAACAGGAGAGACGTGAGAAAGAAAATTACTATGTTCCTAATTCTCTTAAGTCCTCTGAGCAGCTGCTGTTATGACGCCTTGATTACTTCTATGCAGTTAAATAGCAAGGAAAAAACAGAGTGATTTCAACACTGGGTAAAAGAGGAGGGAGGGAGGGAAGGGAGGAAGCGAGGAAGCCAGCAAGCCAGGACACAGGACTAGATTTTGAATGCTGTATTGCTAACTAAATCGGTTTACAAAGTTCAGTATGTTAGATGGATGACTGCTTTTAGTCTATTTTACTTTTTCTCATAGCTTTCTTGCTATAAAAGCTAATGCATGCTTTTTTTATAATTATTTGTGTATTTATTAAATTTTAAACTGCCCAGTAATATTTTTTTTGGGGAAGGATATTAACATGAATGAAAGCAATGATACTTGTATATTTCTGAAAGTCTAGTTATTTGCAACGGACGGTATTTTAAATAATATATGCATACTCTAATCCTGCAATTTTCCTTTTGTTATATGTTATTGTTATAAGTTTATTTATTACCTTTGGGTAATCGTTACAGCTGTTGAATATTTTTTTTTATCAATTTTGAGGGTATTTCAGTATTTTTAAGCCCAAATAAAATATTTTTTAAAGACGGGTTAATCGTACGAATGCATTCGTGTTATAAAGGCGTGTAACTGAAATCAATTAACTTTACTCGCAATCACCACGTTGAATTCTTTAAAATTTACCAGTAGATTACATCGTGTTATATTCAACGTGCTTGAATACAGAAGCAAATGGAAAACGAACTAGTTATTAAGCCGGTTTTACCCAAAATGGTTGTTTAAAGCAAGCTAAACTGAATATTTTGTAATGTAGGGTACTTTCCTCCCCTCCCCTCTCCCGTAATTTAAAGAGCAAAATGTCTCGTCGTTTACGCTTACTCTAATCTAGGCTTTAGATCATCGCGAGTGGTGAACTGTTTCGAATGAGTTGGCTGAACCCTTTTTTGTTGATTAATCAAAACGGGTATCCGTCTCCTTTAAAAGTCTATTCATAGGAAAGGGGTGGAGAAGAGTAAAGGCTGCTGTCTTTTTAACCTTGCTGAAGGACGCAGCAGTATTTATTGACGTATGCAAATAACAGGGGAGGAGGAGGAGGAGGAGGAGGAGGAGGGTGGACGGAAAAACAGGAACCAGAATCAGTTTCTCATTGCAGGGCGAGAGCTCTGAGTTCCGGTATAAGAGAAAGAGACGTGGCGAAATTGCTGTATATCTCTGCCCTATAAGCACATATTTTTTCCTTTGCACTGAAAGGAAGCGAGGCATCGGAAAGGGTGAAACCTCTTCAAATGTCTTTCTAGAGGCAGCGGGGGCTAATCGCGCCGATTCAAACCGTTTTTTACCCCTAAAGAGAGAGTGTGGGGGGTGGGTGGGGATTACGTATTAGTAGTACCGCTGTGTCTTGCAGTTTGCGGCGGCTTGATCCTAGCAGCGGAATTTTTAGCCAGGCTAAAAGCAGCTTTATGAATGCTAACGCTCTATGGTTCCCCCCCCCTCCCTTTTTCTCTCCTCGTTTCAGCTGCGCAAACCATGCAGGATGATTTACTGATGGACAAAAGCAAAGTCCAGCCTCAGCAGCAGCAGCAGCAGCAGCAGCAGCGGCAGGATCCGAACGCAGCAGAAGCTCCTTCTACACCCATCACGTCAGAGACACCCAAACCGGAGGACAGCCCAGTGACCAGCATCGGCTCAGCGGCGGCTCCTGCCCCAAACAGCAAAGAGAAGATGCAAATGGAGTCTCCCATCTTGCCGGGTTTAAGTTTCCACCAGCCTCAGCAGGAGCCTCCAGCCGCCGGCACGTCCTTGTCTCCCTCCTTCGGAAGCAGTTGGTCTACAGGGACCACAAACGCAGTGGAGGATAGCTTTTTCCAAGGGATTACCCCGGTGAATGGGACGATGCTTTTCCAAAATTTCCCCCATCATGTCAACCCCGTTTTTGGAGGCACTTTCTCCCCCCAGATTGGCCTAGCTCAGACTCAGCACCACCAACAGCAGCAGCAGCAACAACAGCAGCAACAAGCACAGCAGCAACAGCAGCAAAGGAGGTCGCCGGTCAGCCCTAACCAGGCGTCTTTTGCCCAGAGAAACGCTGCTTACAGCCATCAGCCCATCATGACCAGCAAACCTTCCTCCTCTTCCACCGCTGCCACCTCTTCTCCTTCCAGCTGGAATAACCATCAAAATGCAGCTTGGAGTACGCCTTCCAACCCTTGGGGTGGGCTGCAAGCTGGCAGGGACCCTCGAAGGGCAGTCGGCGTGGGGGTTGGCGTGGGAGTTGGCGTTGGGGTGCCATCCCCGCTCAACCCCATCTCACCTCTGAAAAAGCCTTTTTCTACCAATGTTATTGCCCCACCGAAATTCCCCCGGGCTGCTCCTCTAGCTCCAAAATCCTGGATGGAAGACAACGCCTTCAGGACAGACAATGGCAATAATCTGTTGCCTTTTCAGGTAAAAGTCCTTTTTTGGGGGAAGGGGAGGAATGGGCAGAGATATTTTAGCATTTGTCTTATAATTTAATCCTGGGTAAAATTAAATGTTTTTTTGTCATTGCAGTTTATGCCAGCATTAGGTCTTTCTTCCTATCATTAAACCTAATACTTGTAGACAGCATTCGCATATGTTAGGGATCCATAAACAAATTAGATTGTTTCTAGGCTCCTTGTTTCTATTTGATTTTCAGTTTTAAAAATATTTGCATTTTGGTCCCAGCTCTGTTCCTTAATATTATTTGCTTCCCATTTTATGCATTTTAACTACAATAGTGTTCTTCCAAAATGCCAAAGTTTTAGATCTTGTCTGGGTGGTTTCATATTGTAAATTAAATAGTACGACCAAAAATCCAACAACACTTGAGGAATCCGTTTAATTATCCTTTCCACATTAAAGGGCCAATCCCTTTTTGCTTAAAACTGCTCTGCCTCGCTAATGCTGAGAAATGAGGTTCAACAGGATTGTGTTTGCAAAAGTAGGCATATGAATGCAAACAACATGCTGAAATTGCTAAAATGTAATCATCATCATATGTCCAGGGTGTGGATTTAAATAGATTCAGGAAGAGGCTTGGGTGTGCATTGACCTGAATACCATTTACCATTAACAAGATCATGTATAATGGCAATACAGAGATTAAGGCGCATTAAAATATTTGTGTGGAGTAAACATTTTGATTCTTTCATACTCAATATTGGAGGAAAGATACAATAGGACGTGACCTTCACAGCCATATTGCAATGGGGCCTATTTACTAGCTATATAAGCCTTGAAATATTTAAAGCGGCAGTGTCTTGCAATGGTTTTGTTATCTAAGAGGTCAAGACGGATCAATTGCAACAACTGAGACTGAGTAAAATTGAAGCTTTGCAATTTTAATGTAGAATGGAACTTTAGTTGGTATTAAATGTTATCTTAAAGCATGTGGGCCAATTATTCAGTTATCATATCCAAATCAATTTATTAAGATAAAAGCTTTTCTGTATTATAATGTATTTTACCTATAAGCCATTATAAGTAAATGTACAGTTTATTAGATTCTTTATGCAGTGAAATTAACTAATTTTGGTTTTGCACTACACTTTTCAATACATGCAATGTAAACTATTATAAAAAATGCAATATATTCAGTGGTACAGAATATTAACTTACTAACGCTGTTTCATTTCATTTAGAGAACTGCTGCCTTTAGACCTCCATTTGATACTTCACTCTGTTTGAACAAAATAGTTAATAATTTTTATTGGTTCTGCAGTGTTAAGGGAGGGGCATATTTCTGGTACTTAGTATTTCACTCTTGAAACTAAAGGATAGATAAATCCAGACAGAGATGTTTTAAACTAATGCTAATTTTTACAATTGTATTCCAATGTTGCATTCTAAAATTCATAATTACAGTAAGATAGTCCTCAGTGTATGACCACAATTAAGCCCACAATGTATGTTGCTAACTGAGACATTTGTTATGTGAGTTGTCCCATTTTACAATCTTATGTGCTGGTTGTTAAGCAAATCTCTGCAGTTAAATTAGTAACCCAGTTAAGTGAATTTGACTTCCCCATTAACTCTGCTTGTGAGAAAATCACATGACCTTGGGACATTGCAACCGTCATAAATATGAGTCAGTTGCCCGGCAGGTAAATTTTGATCACATGAGGTTGCTGCAATGGTCATAGGTGTGACAAAAGGTCACGTCCCTTTTTTCAGTGCCATTGTAACTTTGAATGGCCACTAAGCGGACTGTTGTGAGTCAAGGACTACCTGTATATGCTTCTTAATATATGAAATGATAAAATAATTATGTGAATATATTTAGAGAAATGTTAGTAAACCTTACAGTTAAAAAGATATAAACTAATAAAAACTAAAAGAACCAAAAAGGAAATGCAGGAAAAATATAGAATAGAAAAATAGAAAAAAAGAAAAGATATATAAAGAAATGACTTTCCCCTTCATCATAAATATGCACAATTTTAGTAACTTATAGTTGCCTCTTAAAATTCAACAAATGTCTTTTTCCCCCTTATGTCCCTTATAATAAACAGATCCTTAAAGCCTCTTCATTCAGTCCTTATTAACAAAGGTCTATTAAGAGTTACCAGAGAGAGTAACATATTTTAACCTTGATCAGACAATCCAACTTTATATTCCTTCCTTTTAGTTTTAACAATCTCAATCTTTAATCCCTTCAAATGCAGTCCTGGAATTTGATTTTTTTTTAGTAATTTCTTTGTGCATTTTTACAAATCTCTTCAAAACTTTTAATAAATGTCTCTTGTAATTCTAATATGGAATTGTTATTCAGGTCATTCTTTTGATTTTTTATTTGTATATCCCTTTTAATTAGGACATCAATTGGTTTCATTTGTATACCCTGTATATCTTTTTCCTTATTCTCCAGTAAAACTTGTTCTTCTTTCATATCATCCTTTAAACATTCAATAAGGGGAGACAGATTTAAAATTAAGTTCTGGGTCCATTGCTCATAAATATTCTCTGGTTAAAGTATTCTGCTTCATTCTTTATCAGTAATTCACATTTAAGTGTGAATTTAATTGTAATCTTTAGTTCTTTCTGGTTCCCTCTAGTGTCCAATGTTCAATGTCCCAGTTATCTTTAAGAATTCAAAAGAGAAGTATTTTCCCATGCAAAGGGTTTTATAATTAATTTCAAAATCTTTTTTCAAATCCCTCCAGACCCTTACTCCATTTGTAATTTTCCAAAATTAATATTATAATTACTCTTGCTGTTTATTCCAAAAATGATTTTTTAAAAGTCCTTAAAGTAATTTCTTTTGCTAAAGTCTAAAAAAACCTTTGTCAATTCAAAGGTTCCTAATATCTAAAGAGTAATTAACAAGCAATTCCCAATCATGATTAGAAATGGCTCTGACTGCAGTTTAGGCAAGCTATTTAATTCACCAGATACCACTGTCTTCTGGTCTCTTCATAAGGAGCCTGAATCTTCCCCCTGTTTAAAGAATAATTTTGAAGAGCTGTTGTGCTCGCCGGCTCTTTGTTCTACTGCAGTTGTAGATTCTGCTTTTAGTAGAGCCATCTTCAGTTCACCATTTCTTCCTCTGAAGACTCAATATATGCATCTAACAATATACAACATATTGGCATTTGGAAGCATTTATGCTAAGATAGATAAAAAGTATTGGTATTCTAAATTATATTGTTGGTAAGGTATAACACTTTCCTGAACAGCCTTCCATCCAAGGTCAGTAAAATGAGGACTCAGATTGTTGTGGGCAATATGGTGATTCTGTAAACTGCTTAGAGAGGACAGTAAAGCACCATGAAGCGGTATATAAGTCTGCTATTGCTGTAATGCAGGGGTGTCAAACTCACATCACAGCAATGTCACGTGACATATCAGAACTTTTTTTCCCCTTGGCTAACCAGGTGTGCCCAGCATGCGACGTATCCGGCCCATGGGCTGGGAGTTTGACAGCCCTGCTATAGTGTGCTTTGGAATATAAGCCCCAAACTGAAGGAATTTATGGTAAAAATAACGCAAAAATAACCCACACTCCTTTTTTTTAGGAACTATAATGCTACATTTTTAACTAAAAGCAAACTTACTTTTCAGAGATTTCCAAGTGAACATATATTTGTAATAGAAGGAATGGATCCTGTAGGTTTATTATGGAAGATTATTTCCTTTCGCCCTTTCTTTCTACCCTGCCAAAGAATTATTTTCTAATGAGTTTGTCTTCTAACAGCAGCTGATATTTGTTCTTGTGATATTACTGTAGAAACAGGACCATTGTGTTTTTGCCAAACCATGTACTTAGATTTTTCAAGATTAGGATGTATCTCATCTTCAAAACTACATTTCTGTTGATTTTTTTTCCTTTTATAATTATTTGAAGTATTTGGTTATTTCTTGCTTATTCTAAACGTCCCAATATTTTTCACTGACAATTTGGCCGTTTTTTGGAAGAACATTTCATTTTGAACACATGCTCCACACAGAATCTAATGATCATGAATGTTTTGTATACTGAATATAAATGCAGAGAAGCTGTATATTTATTTAGTAGTTGTTTAGTTGTCATTTCTATTTCTCTGACAATCCATGGTTCTGAAATTTGGACGTGAGAATATTTTATCAAAGTATTCTGGTTTTATTGTTGTAAGCCCTTACAATTGAAAATTAAGATTTAACAGTAGGGCTCCTTGACCTGAGAGCTTTAAGTACTGTTAAGAACACCTAATGTTACAATGATTGTTTTCAGTATATGATCAACATTTTGAAAGAACAATTAAGCAATTTATTACTGCTTTTTGGTGCTGTCTGGGAATATATAATTTTAAACCAGTCTTATAATCATGTTGGAACTGTAAACATTTTTACACTTTGCGAAATTAGTAGTTTGGTAAGATATAAAGAATACATTTTTACCTACTGTAAGATTTGTAACTTTTTAAAAGACACAAAATTGTCAATATGTGACAATATCATGTCACATACCTATTGCACTATCATCCAAACCGTTGAAAGAAATAAGAGCACGTAAAAATACAAAAAAACTTCTTCCATTAATTCTGGACATTAATTACTTAATTAATGTACTATATTTAATCACCGCTGCGTAATATGCATGTAGATCAGTTCAGTCTTAGAAATCAAGTCGTTCTTGTTACAGATATACATGAGGGAATAAGTGGCATACTTGAAAAAAGACAATCTACTCTGTACATCTATTTATATAATGTGCTCTTAAGTGATAGAATGTACAAAATATTTTAATTTATCAGCTGTAAGCACTAAAGGAACATTTTATCGACATCCAAATTATCTGTTATATAGCTTGTTTCTTCTTTAATATCAAACTATTATTTCTCATTTTTCTCATCTTATTTAATTGTGTTTAAATCCCAGCTTGCTTAATAGTTAGTCTACAAGATAGCATTGTTCTATTGTTGCTTATGGAAGATCCTGCTTGACCT